TACTCCCGTATGACCGTATATACGGAACCCCTGCAACGCGTACGGGCCGTACGTACGGGCTTCCAGCTGTCCGTACGGGGTCTTCGAGAGGGGGGTCGGGAGTGATTTTCGGGTGGTTGGGTGTCGGGTGGCGGGGGGAGTCTGACTGAACAAAAAAAAAAGAAAAAATATATATATATTTTTTTTGGTTGTGGGGGGGGGGGGGAAGGAAGGACGAAGATGGAAGCAAGGGAGAAGACTAAGATCGCAATAGCGGAGTTCAAAGTAATCCTTTGCCGAAGTCCAACCAATGTCTGCCCAAAAATGTCCAACCACTGTTCTGCACGACCAAGTTCAGGCTTTCTGAGGACGAACGTAGCAGCACTGGACCGTGGCGTTTAGCCTGCACCTTCCTGGCACTTTGTTTGGAAGGAGGCAGAGACGCTTCCATGGCCGGAGTCGAGACAGAGGAAGTGGGGAGGCTTGCCCCAGTGGTTGGAGGGCAGGAAGCAGAGACGCTTCCACAAGGGGTGCAGTGGTGATTGGGAGACAGGGAAAGTGATGGGACGTGAGGAGATGGTGTGTGCCCACAGGAGTGGAGAAGGAAAAAATTATGATATTTAAAATAAAAGATTGCAAGAGTGCTGCAAGCGGCCTATCTCAGTTGGTAAGGCACGCAAGTGGCATTCAGGAGGTCTTGGGTTCAATCCCCATTGGCCTCATGAAGGGCATGCTTGGTGCCTGCCACCTAGAGATAGCCCGTTGGTCCCCCAATTCGCATTAAAAAGCAGTCTCTGCTGATGTTCATAGGGGGAGGGGTAATCAGGGAGTTACAACGACTGGCCACTCAGATGATGCTCGGTCCCTCTGCTACCGGTTGTCCCCTGGTCGGTGAAGGCAATACCTTAAGGCCACCCATTGGGGGTTCCCTGAAGGCAATCAAGGCTCACCCTCGGCTGAGAAGGCCACACGATGTCAGATAAGACACAATATTGAATTTACCTGGGCTGGTTAGTCCGATGATAATACCTCAAGGCCATCGCCCTTATAAAAAATAAAAAATAAAAAAAGAAGGAGAGAAGATGCAACGACAAGACGAGAGGTTGAGGGCGAACCACAGCCTCCTTTTTTTTTTTTTTTTTTTTTTTTTTTGGAGTTGTTCGATGTCGACCATGTGGCTCGTCTAGATTCAAACTCCAGTGTTCATTTGAATAGTTCATGGGTGTCCCAATTGAGCTGTTGTCTTCACCCGAATAGAACGGGTCATCAATAAGGCTGTATTTGATGCAACTTCTAGTCCAGATACGGTCAGAAGTACCGGGCGTTCTATTCAGTGTGAAGACGGCGGTTCGTCGAAAGATACTTTAGACGGTACAATGCAATGTGGTACAGGAGTCGGTTCGCATCCGACAAAGAGGTGCAAAATAGAAAGAGAGAGAGAGAGAGAAAGAGAGAGAGAGAGAGAAAGAGAGAGAGAGAGAGAGAGACTGACTCGTGACTGATCGTGACTGACTCATGGCTGACTCGTGGTTGACTCGTGACTGACTCGTGGCTGACTTGTGACTGACTCGTGACTGCACAAATAGCTCCAATACTTATGACCGTAACTGGAATGGATTTGCATCAAATACAGAAAGACTGCACGATTAGTAGGGTGCCTTCATCATGATTAGGGAGAAAGACTATAGGTTAGTCTTCCTGTTACTACAGTAACTGAAATAGTAGCTTCCGAAGTTATTCCATTTATGAGAAATACCTCATGAACATTATGCTCATTGCTCATGTGGTAATTGGCTCTGATGAAGTTTGACAAGTTTTTGGTTACATGGTTTCCTTCCACTTGTACTCTCCTCTGCTTGCC